TTCTCTGTCTAGGAGTGCAACATCTTTAACAAAAACTATAAATTAATATCAGCTGTAAATAGAGACTATTTGCTGTTACAATTAATTCAGAATTTAATCTTTTGCATGTTGGACAAGAATATTTATAATTACTATACATTCTCATAAGAATATACTTCATTAGAGTATAAATTTGAAGAAGATAAATTTGTAATAAAGTTTCAAATTGGTTGATAATGAAATAGAGCCAGACATAAAATTAAATACTTTTTACTATAAAACAAGTTTTCATCATATTATATAACCGGCTCTGCTGGGTGATCTGCTTTTACGAGATCAGCGCCCATTAAATTCATCAATGTTGCATCAAAATCTAAAGTTTGCTCTCTGGGGAGGTCTGCTTTTACAAGACCCATTTTGACATAAAGCATCTTTTGATCCAACTGCTGGGCGATCTGCTTTAACAATAGTCAAATTAATAATGACGTCTTGAAATTCTACTTTAATTTTTGCTGTCGTAAGAAGGTGTCATAGGAAAAAATAATTGTATCTGAGGGGTCCCATTCCGCTGCTTAAATCGTTAACCAAACGTTGACATAATTGAATCGTTGTTAATTAATAAATTGTGATATTCTTCCATTGACTATCCATCCTATTTGCAGGATCACCGCATTAAAAATGTATGCGTTGACAGCATTCTTATCCAGATTTTAAAACGCTATGACAACATTGCAGTTGCCTAAAATGGTAACTAAAACATTTCCAAATATTTTTTGGGCTGCCGGCCAATTTTAAGGGCCACTTAACTATATAGTAAAATTATTCCTGCAGTATACCATAATCGTCCCTTAAACAGGCATAAAAGACGAAAGTGTAGACCAATTTGTAATAAAGTTGCCTGCTATTCAAGGAAAAACTGATTTTTATTACCTCACACATATAAACATAGCTTTAAGAACATTTGTAATGACCAAATACCTACATGCAACATCATCCTCTTGAACTTCAATGGAACCATTTTCATGGTATAGGACGGTCACATATTTAGGCTGTATCTAACAAAAACAAAAACTTTAAATTAGTTTCAGCTTTAAATAGAGACTTTTTGCTGTTGCAATTAATTCAAAAATTAATGTGATGCATGTGTCATGTCAAATCTTAAATTAGGGACAATTAATTTACAATAACTATACATTCTTATTAAAATATACCTCATTAGAGTCTAAATTTGAATAAAAGAAATTTTAGACCAATTTTTTATTGTCTCACAAATATTAACATAGTTTTAAGTACAATTGTAATGACCAAATACTTACATGCGACTCCTCCTCATGTGCTATCTACCATGAAGTTTCCATCTTCTCTGTCTAGGAGTGCAACATCTTTAACAAAAACTATAAATTAATATCAGCTGTAAATAGAGACTATTTGCTGTTACAATTAATTCAGAATTTAATCTTTTGCATGTTGGACAAGAATATTTATAATTACTATACATTCTCATAAGAATATACTTCATTATAGTATAAATTTGAAGAAGATAAATTTGTAATAAAGTTTCAAATTGGTTGATAATGAAATAGAGCCAGACATAAAATTAAATACTTTTTACTATAAAACAAGTTTTCATCATATTATATATATAACCGGCTCTTCTGGGTGATCTGCTTTTACGAGATCAGCGCCCATTAAATTCATCAATGTTGCATCAAAATCTAAAGTTTGCTCTCTGGGGAGGTCTGCTTTTACGAGACCCATTTTGACATAAAGCATCTTTTGATCCAACTGCTGGGCGATCTGCTTTAACAATAGTCAAATTAATAATGACGTCTTGAAATTCTACTTTAATTTTTGCTGTCGTAAGAAGGTGTCATAGGAAAAAATAATTGTATCTGAGGGGTCCCATTCCGCTGCTTAAATCGTCAACCAAACGTTGACATAATTGAATCGTTGTTAATTAATAAATTGTGATATTCTTCCATTGACTATCCATCCTATTTGCAGGATCACCGCATTAAAAATGTATGCGTTGACAGCATTCTTATCCAGATTTTAAAACGCTATGACAACATTGAAGTTGCCTAAAATGGTAACTAAAACATTTCCAAATATTTTTTGGGCTGCCGGCCAATTTTAAGGGCCACTTAACTATATAGTAAAATTATTCCTGCAGTATACCATAATAGTCCCTTAAACAGGCATAAAAGACGAAATTGTAGACCAATTTGTAATAAAGTTGCCTGCTATTCAAGGAAAAACTGATTTTTATTACCTCACACATATAAACATAGCTTTAAGAACATTTGTAATGACCAAATACCTACATGCAACATCATCCTCTTGAACTTCAATGGAACCATTTTCATGGTATAGGACGGTCACATATTTAGGCTGTATCTAACAAAAACAAAAACTTTAAATTACTTTCAGCTTTAAATAGAGACTTTTTGCTGTTGCAATTAATTCAAAAATTAATGTGATGCATGTGTCATGTCAAATCTTAAATTAGGGACAATTAATTTACAATAACTATACATTCTTATTAAAATATACCTCATTAGAGTCTAAATTTGAATAAAAGAAATTTTAGACCAATTTTTTATTGTCTCACAAATATTAACATAGTTTTAAGTACAATTGTAATGACCAAATACTTACATGCGACTCCTCCTCATGTGCTATCTACCATGAAGTTTCCATCTTCTCTGTCTAGGAGTGCAACATCTTTAACAAAAACTATAAATTAATATCAGCTGTAAATAGAGACTATTTGCTGTTACAATTAATTCAGAATTTAATCTTTTGCATGTTGGACAAGAATATTTATAATTACTATACATTCTCATAAGAATATACTTCATTAGAGTATAAATTTGAAGAAGATAAATTTGTAATAAAGTTTCAAATTGGTTGATAATGAAATAGAGCCAGACATAAAATTAAATACTTTTTACTATAAAACAAGTTTTCATCATATTATATAACCGGCTCTGCTGGGTGATCTGCTTTTACGAGATCAGCGCCCATTAAATTCATCAATGTTGCATCAAAATCTAAAGTTTGCTCTCTGGGGAGGTCTGCTTTTACAAGACCCATTTTGACATAAAGCATCTTTTGATCCAACTGCTGGGCGATCTGCTTTAACAATAGTCAAATTAATAATGACGTCTTGAAATTCTACTTTAATTTTTGCTGTCGTAAGAAGGTGTCATAGGAAAAAATAATTGTATCTGAGGGGTCCCATTCCGCTGCTTAAATCGTTAACCAAACGTTGACATAATTGAATCGTTGTTAATTAATAAATTGTGATATTCTTCCATTGACTATCCATCCTATTTGCAGGATCACCGCATTAAAAATGTATGCGTTGACAGCATTCTTATCCAGATTTTAAAACGCTATGACAACATTGCAGTTGCCTAAAATGGTAACTAAAACATTTCCAAATATTTTTTGGGCTGCCGGCCAATTTTAAGGGCCACTTAACTATATAGTAAAATTATTCCTGCAGTATACCATAATCGTCCCTTAAACAGGCATAAAAGACGAAAGTGTAGACCAATTTGTAATAAAGTTGCCTGCTATTCAAGGAAAAACTGATTTTTATTACCTCACACATATAAACATAGCTTTAAGAACATTTGTAATGACCAAATACCTACATGCAACATCATCCTCTTGAACTTCAATGGAACCATTTTCATGGTATAGGACGGTCACATATTTAGGCTGTATCTAACAAAAACAAAAACTTTAAATTAGTTTCAGCTTTAAATAGAGACTTTTTGCTGTTGCAATTAATTCAAAAATTAATGTGATGCATGTGTCATGTCAAATCTTAAATTAGGGACAATCAATTTACAATAACTATACATTCTTATTAAAATATACCTCATTAAGAGTCTAAATTTGAATAAAAGAAATTTTAGACCAATTTTTTATTGTCTCACAAATATTAACATAGTTTTAAGTACAATTGTAATGACCAAATACTTACATGCGACTCCTCCTCATGTGCTATCTACCATGAAGTTTCCATCTTCTCTGTCTAGGAGTGCAACATCTTTAACAAAAACTATAAATTAATATCAGCTGTAAATAGAGACTATTTGCTGTTACAATTAATTCAGAATTTAATCTTTTGCATGTTGGACAAGAATATTTATAATTACTATACATTCTCATATAATTACTATACATTCTCATAAGAATATACTTCATTAGAGTATAAATTTGAAGAAAATAAATTTGTAATAAAGTTTCAAATTGGTTGATAATGAAATAGAGCCAGACATAAAATTAAATACTTTTTACTATAAAACAAGTTTTCATCATATTATATAACCGGCTCTGCTGGGTGATCTGCTTTTACGAGATCAGCGCCCATTAAATTCATCAATGTTGCATCAAAATCTAAAGTTTGCTCTCTGGGGAGGTCTGCTTTTACAAGACCCATTTTGACATAAAGCATCTTTTGATCCAACTGCTGGGCGATCTGCTTTAACAATAGTCAAATTAATAATGACGTCTTGAAATTCTACTTTAATTTTTGCTGTCGTAAGAAGGTGTCATAGGAAAAAATAATTGTATCTGAGGGGTCCCATTCCGCTGCTTAAATCGTTAACCAAACGTTGACATAATTGAATCGTTGTTAATTAATAAATTGTGATATTCTTCCATTGACTATCCATCCTATTTGCAGGATCACCGCATTAAAAAGTATGCCTTGACAGCATTCTTATCCAGATTTTAAAACGCTATGACAACATTGAAGTTGCCTAAAATGGTAACTAAAACATTTCCAAATATTTTTTGGGCTGCCGGCCAATTTTAAGGGCCACTTAACTATATAGTAAAATTATTCCTGCAGTATACCATAATCGTCCCTTAAACAGGCATAAAAAACGAAATTGTAAACCAATTTGTAATAAAGTTGCCTGCTATTCCAGGAAAAACTGATTTTTATTACCTCACACATATAAACATAGCTTTAAGAACATTTGTAATGACCAAATACCTACATGCAACATCATCCTCTTGAACTTCAATGGAACCATTTTCATGGTATAGGACTGTCACATATTTAGGCTGTATCTAACAAAAACAAAAACTTTAAATTAGTTTCAGCTTTAAATAGAGACTTTTTGCTGTTGCAATTAATTCAAAAATTAATGTGATGCATGTGTCATGTCAAATCTTAAATTAGGGACAATTAATTTACAATAACTATACATTCTTATTAAAATATACCTCATTAGAGTCTAAATTTGAATAAAAGAAATTTTAGACCAATTTTTTATTGTCTCACAAATATTAACATAGTTTTAAGTACAATTGTAATGACCAAATACTTACATGCGACTCCTCCTCATGTGCTATCTACCATGAAGTTTCCATCTTCTCTGTCTAGGAGTGCAACATCTTTAACAAAAACTATAAATTAATATCAGCTGTAAATAGAGACTATTTGCTGTTACAATTAATTCAGAATTTAATCTTTTGCATGTTGGACAAGAATATTTATAATTACTATACATTCTCATATAATTACTATACATTCTCATAAGAATATACTTCATTAGAGTATAAATTTGAAGAAAATAAATTTGTAATAAAGTTTCAAATTGGTTGATAATGAAATAGAGCCAGACATAAAATTAAATACTTTTTACTATAAAACAAGTTTTCATCATATTATATAACCGGCTCTGCTGGGTGATCTGCTTTTACGAGATCAGCGCCCATTAAATTCATCAATGTTGCATCAAAATCTAAAGTTTGCTCTCTGGGGAGGTCTGCTTTTACAAGACCCATTTTGACATAAAGCATCTTTTGATCCAACTGCTGGGCGATCTGCTTTAACAATAGTCAAATTAATAATGACGTCTTGAAATTCTACTTTAATTTTTGCTGTCGTAAGAAGGTGTCATAGGAAAAAATAATTGTATCTGAGGGGTCCCATTCCGCTGCTTAAATCGTTAACCAAACGTTGACATAATTGAATCGTTGTTAATTAATAAATTGTGATATTCTTCCATTGACTATCCATCCTATTTGCAGGATCACCGCATTAAAAAGTATGCCTTGACAGCATTCTTATCCAGATTTTAAAACGCTATGACAACATTGAAGTTGCCTAAAATGGTAACTAAAACATTTCCAAATATTTTTTGGGCTGCCGGCCAATTTTAAGGGCCACTTAACTATATAGTAAAATTATTCCTGCAGTATACCATAATCGTCCCTTAAACAGGCATAAAAAACGAAATTGTAAACCAATTTGTAATAAAGTTGCCTGCTATTCCAGGAAAAACTGATTTTTATTACCTCACACATATAAACATAGCTTTAAGAACATTTGTAATGACCAAATACCTACATGCAACATCATCCTCTTGAACTTCAATGGAACCATTTTCATGGTATAGGACTGTCACATATTTAGGCTGTATCTAACAAAAACAAAAACTTTAAATTAGTTTCAGCTTTAAATAGAGACTTTTTGCTGTTGCAATTAATTCAAAAATTAATGTGATGCATGTGTCATGTCAAATCTTAAATTAGGGACAATTAATTTACAATAACTATACATTCTTATTAAAATATACCTCATTAGAGTCTAAATTTGAATAAAAGAAATTTTAGACCAATTTTTTATTGTCTCACAAATATTAACATAGGTTTTAAGTACAATTGTAATGACCAAATACTTACATGCAACTCATCCTCATGTGCTATCTACCATGAAGTTTCCATCTTCTCTGTCTAGGAGTGCAACATCTTTAACAAAAACTATAAATTAATATCAGCTGTAAATAGAGACTATTTGCTGTTACAATTAATTCAGAATTTAATCTTTTGCATGTTGGACAAGAATATTTATAATTACTATACATTCTCATAAGAATATACTTCATTAGAGTATAAATTTGAAGAAAATAAATTTGTAATAAAGTTTCAAATTGGTTGATAATGAAATAGAGCCAGACATAAAATTAAATACTTTTTACTATAAAACAAGTTTTCATCATATTATATAACCGGCTCTGCTGGGTGATCTGCTTTTACGAGATCAGCGCCCATTAAATTCATCAATGTTGCATCAAAATCTAAAGTTTGCTCTCTGGGGAGGTCTGCTTTTACGAGACCCATTTTGACATAAAGCATCTTTTTATCCAACTGCTGGGCGATCTGCTTTAACAATAGTCAAATCAATAATGACGTCTTGAAATTCTACTTTAATTTTTGCTGTCGTAAGAAGGTGTCATAGGAAAAAATAATTGTATCTGAGGGGTCCCATTCCGCTGCTTAAATCGTTAACCAAACGTTGACATAATTGAATCGTTGTTAATTAATAAATTGTGATATTCTTCCATTGACTATCCATCCTATTTGCAGGATCACCGCATTAAAAATGTATGCGTTGACAGCATTCTTATCCAGATTTTAAAACGCTATGACAACATTGCAGTTGCCTAAAATGGTAACTAAAACATTTCCAAATATTTTTTGGGCTGCCGGCCAATTTTAAGGGCCACTTAACTATATAGTAAAATTATTTCTGCAGTATACCATAATCGTCCCTTAAACAGGCATAAAAGACGAAATTGTAGACCAATTTGTAATAAAGTTGCCTGCTATTCAAGGAAAAACTGATTTTTATTACCTCACACATATAAACATAGCTTTAAGAACATTTGTAATGACCAAATACCTACATGCAACATCATCCTCTTGAACTTCAATGGAACCATTTTCATGGTATAGGACGGTCACATATTTAGGCTGTATCTAACAAAATCAAAAACTTTAAATTAGTTTCAGCTTTAAATAGAGACTTTTTGCTGTTGCAATTAATTCAAAAATTAATGTGATGCATGTGTCATGTCAAATCTTAAATTAGGGACAATTAATTTACAATAACTATACATTCTTATTAAAATATACCTCATTAGAGTCTAAATTTGAATAAAAGAAATTTTAGACCAATTTTTTATTGTCTCACAAATATTAACATAGTTTTAAGTACAATTGTAATGACCAAATACTTACATGCAACTCATCCTCATGTGCTATCTACCATGAAGTTTCCATCTTCTCTGTCTAGGAGTGCAACATCTTTAACAAAAACTATAAATTAATATCAGCTGTAAATAGAGACTATTTGCTGTTACAATTAATTCAGAATTTAATCTTTTGCATGTTGGACAAGAATATTTATAATTACTATACATTCTCATAAGAATATACTTCATTAGAGTATAAATTTGAAGAAAATAAATTTGTAATAAAGTTTCAAATTGGTTGATAATGAAATAGAGCCAGACATAAAATTAAATACTTTTTACTATAAAACAAGTTTTATCATATTATATAACCGGCTCTGCTGGGTGATCTGCTTTTACGAGATCAGCGCCCATTAAATTCATCAATGTTGCATCAAAATCTAAAGTTTGCTCTCTGGGGAGGTCTGCTTTTACGAGACCCATTTTGACATAAAGCATCTTTTGATCCAACTGCTGGGCGATCTGCTTTAACAATAGTCAAATTAATAATGACGTCTTGAAATTCTACTTTAATTTTTGCTGTCGTAAGAAGGTGTCATAGGAAAAAATAATTGTATCTGAGGGGTCCCATTCCGCTGCTTAAATCGTTAACCAAACGTTGACATAATTGAATCGTTGTTAATTAATAAATTGTGATATTCTTCCATTGACTATCCATCCTATTTGCAGGATCACCGCATTAAAAAGTATGCGTTGACAGCATTCTTATCCAGATTTTAAAACGCTATGACAACATTGAAGTTGCCTAAAATGGTACTGTAAATTCAGAAATTATTGCGAGGTTTTTATTAATGCGAATAATGCGACTCATTGAGTATCGCAATAATAAGAACTCGCATTCTGAAATCTGATACACATATCTTAGGCAAATGTTTCTGAAATCGCAATAATAAATCTCGCATTTTTGTCCTTTTTTCAAAAATCGCAATAATAAATGAACGCATTAATTTCTGAATTTACAGTAACTAAAACATTTCCAAATATTTTTTGGGCTGCCGGCCAATTTTAAGGGCCACTTAACTATATAGTAAAATTATTCCTGCAGTATACCATAATCGTCCCTTAAACAGGCATAAAAAACGAAATTGTAAACCAATTTGTAATAAAGTTGCCTGCTATTCCAGGAAAAACTGATTTTTATTACCTCACACATATAAACATAGCTTTAAGAACATTTGTAATGACCAAATACCTACATGCAACATCATCCTCTTGAACTTCAATGGAACCATTTTCATGGTATAGGACTGTCACATATTTAGGCTGTATCTAACAAAAACAAAAACTTTAAATTAGTTTCAGCTTTAAATAGAGACTTTTTGCTGTTGCAATTAATTCAAAAATTAATGTGATGCATGTGTCATGTCAAATCTTAAATTAGGGACAATTAATTTACAATAACTATACATTCTTATTAAAATATACCTCATTAGAGTCTAAATTTGAATAAAAGAAATTTTAGACCAATTTTTTATTGTCTCACAAATATTAACATAGTTTTAAGTACAATTGTAATGACCAAATACTTACATGCAACTCATCCTCATGTGCTATCTACCATGAAGTTTCCATCTTCTCTGTCTAGGAGTGCAACATCTTTAACAAAAACTATAAATTAATATCAGCTGTAAATAGAGACTATTTGCTGTTACAATTAATTCAGAATTTAATCTTTTGCATGTTGGACAAGAATATTTATAATTACTATACATTCTCATAAGAATATACTTCATTAGAGTATAAATTTGAAGAAAATAAATTTGTAATAAAGTTTCAAATTGGTTGATAATGAAATAGAGCCAGACATAAAATTAAATACTTTTTACTATAAAACAAGTTTTCATCATATTATATAACCGGCTCTGCTGGGTGATCTGCTTTTACGAGATCAGCGCCCATTAAATTCATCAATGTTGCATCAAAATCTAAAGTTTGCTCTCTGGGGAGGTCTGCTTTTACAAGACCCATTTTGACATAAAGCATCTTTTTATCCAACTGCTGGGCGATCTGCTTTAACAATAGTCCAATTAATAATGACGTCTTGAAATTCTACTTTAATTTTTGCTGTCGTAAGGTGTCATAGCAAAAAATAATTGTAGATGAGAGGTCCCATTCCGCTGCTTAAATCGTTAACCAAACTTTGACATAATTGAATTGTTGTAAATTGATAAATTGTGATATTCTTCCATTGACTATCCATCCTATTTGCAGGATCACCGCATTAAAAATGTATGCGTTGACAGCATTCTTACCCAGATTTTAAAACGCTATGACAACATTGAAGTTGCCTAAAATGGTAACTAAAACATTTCCAAATATTTTTTGGGCTGCCAGCCAATTTTAAGGGCCACTTAACTATATAGTAAAATTATTCCTGCAGTATACCATAAACGTCCCTTAAACAGGCATAAAAAAACGAAATTGTAGACCAATTTGTAATAAAGTTGCCTGCTATTCCAGGAAAAACTGATTTTTATTACCTCACACATATAAACATAGCTTTAAGAACATTTGTAATGACCAAATACCTACATGCAACATCATCCTCTTGAACTTCAATGGAACCATTTTCATGGGATAGGACTGTCACATATTTAGGCTGTATCTAACAAAAACAAAAACTTTGAATTAGTTTCAGCTTTAAATAGAGACTTTTTGCTGATGCAATTAATCCAGAAATTAATGTGATGCGTGTTTTATGTCAACTCCTTAACCGGGCAACAAGTCTAGAAACAAATACAAAACATTCTTATATAAATATATTACATAAGAGTATAAATTTGAAAAAAAAAATGAAATTTTAGACAAATCAGTTATAAAGCTTCAGGCTGTTGTTTCAGGAAAAACTGATTTTTATTACCTAACAAACATAAACATAGTTTTAAGAACAAGAGGCTCTCAAGAGCAGGAATCGTTCACCTGTAATTTTTTGCTTAAATCTTTCATCAATGATTATTTTTGCTTTTCAATATATATTAATGAGTGGCTTAAAAATGCCATTTAAATGTTCTTTGCATCTGTCATATTTTCTTCAAAAGCAAAAAAATGCATTTTACCCCTATGTTCCATTTTAGCCATAGTGGCTATATTTCTTCACATACACAACAGATTTCCTCTAAATGCTTTAGTTTTTGAGATATAAGCCAAAAACTGCATTTTACCCCTATTTTCTATTTTTAACCATGTTGGCCATGTTTTTTGACGAAACAGAAAATAAAACACAAACTTAATTCTAGATACCCTAAGGATCATTCAGCTTAAGTTTGGTTGGAATTGGTTCAGTAGTTTCAGAGGAGAAGATGTTTGAAATAGTTTACACCGGACAGACGACGACAGACACCAAGTGATGGCAAAAGCTCACATTTCCTTCAGCAAGGTGAGCTCAAAAATTGTAATGACCAAATACCTACATGTGACTCGTCCTAATGTGTGATCTTCAATGAAAGCATCTTTCATGGTATAGGAGTGTTGCATAGTTAGGCTGTATCTGTAATAAAAACAAAAATTATAAATTAGTTTCAAATCAAGACTTTTTGCTGTTGCAATCAATTCAGAAATTAATGTGATGCATGTTTTATGTTAAATACTAAATTAGAGAGAAGTATATATACAATTACTATAATTCTTATTAAAATATACATCATTAGAGCATAAATTTGAATAAAAGAAATTTTAGACCAATTTGTTATAAAGCTTCAATTTGTTTCAGGAAAAACTGATTTTAAATACCTAACAAATATAAACATAGTTTAAAGAACAGTTGTAATGACCAAATACCTACATGCGACTCATCCTAATGTGCTATATACAATGGAAGCATCTTTCATGGTATTGGAGTGTAACATACTTAGGCTGTATCTGCAACAAAAACAAAAATTTTAAATCAGTATCAGCTTTAAATAAAGAAAATTGGTTGTTGCAATTAATTCAAAATTGATTTGATGCATTTTTTATGTCAAATCCTAATTTAGAGAGAGGTATGCAAGCAATTTCTATAAATTTTCATTAATTTTATACTTTATAAGAGTATAAATTTGAATAAAAGAAATTTTAGAACAATTTGTAATAAAATCTAATTTAAGCTGTTGTTCCAGGGAAAACTGATTTTTGTTACCCGACACATATAAACATAAAGTAATACCAAATACCTACATGCTCCTGATCCTCATATGCGATCGATCTACCATGAAACCATCTTCATTGTCTAGGAGTGTAACATATTTAGGCTGTATCTGTAATAAAAACAAAAATCATAAATTACTGTCAGCTTTAAATAGAGACTATTGGCTGTTGCAATCAATTATAAAATAAATATCAAATCCTAAATTGGACAAAGTATATTTACAATTACTACACATTCTTGTTAAAATATACTTCATTAGTTAGGGAAAACTGATTTTTTATTACCCAACACATATAAACAGTTAAAAGTACAATTGTAATGACCAAATACCTACATGCTACTAATCCCAATGTGCAATCTATCTACCATGAAACTATCTTCATTGTGTGGGAGTGGAACATATTTGAGTTGTATCTAACAAAAGAAAAATTTTAAATTAGTATCAGCTTTAAAAAGAGAATATTTATTGGCTGTTGAAACAAGTAAAACCAAATATTTCGGTAAACTGGAAGTTGTTGAGTGATGAATCTGAAAAAGCATCACACAGTATTGCCGACTTATATAAACCCTGAAACCAAATTTCAGAAATCCTTGTATTGTAGTTCCTGAGAAAAACGTGCCGAAAAATTTTCAACTTGGCTATCATATGTAAAATGATACAAGTGTTCGGTAAACAGGAAGGTGTTCAGTGATGAATCTGAAAAAGCAACACAATGCATAGTTGACTTATATAAACCCTGAAACCAAATTTCAGAAATCCTTGTATTGTAGTTCCTGAGAAAAATGGGACGATAAATTTTCATGGGACGGACAGACTGACAGATGCATGGACGGACAGACGGATGGATGCAGGGACAGAGGTAAAACAGTATACCCCCACTTTTTTAAAGCGGGGGTATAATAAATTCAAAAATTAATGTGATGCATGTTTCATGTCAAATCTTAAATTATACCTCATTAGAGTCTAAATTTGAATAAAAGAAATTTTAGACCAATTTTTTATTGTCCCACAAATATTAACATAGTTTTAAGTACAATTGTAATGACCAAATACTTACATGCGACTCCTCCTCATGTGCTATCTACCATGAAGTTTCCATCTTCTCTGTCTAGGAGTGCAACATCTTTAACAAAAACTATAAATTAATATCAGCTGTAAATAGAGACTATTTGCTGTTACAATTAATTCAGAATTTAATCTTTTGCATGTTGGACAAGAATATTTATAATTACTATACATTCTCATAAGAATATACTTCATTAGAGAATAAATTTGAAGAAAATCAATTTGTAATAAAGTTTCAAATTGTTTGATAATGAAATAGAGCCAGACATAAAATTAAAAACTTTTTATTATAAAACAAGTTTTCATCATATTATATAACCGGCTCTGCTGGGTGATCTGCTTTTACGAGATCAGCGCCCATTAAATTCATCAATGTTGCATCAAAATCTAAAGTTTGCTCTCTGGGGAGGTCTGCTTTTACGAGACCCATTTTGACATAAAGCATCTTTTTATCCAACTGCTGGGCGAACTGCTTTAACAATAGTCCAATTAATAATGACGTCTTGAAATTCTACTTTAATTTTTGCTGACGTAAGAGGGCGTCATAGCAAAAAATAATTGTATCTGAGGGGTCCCATTCCGCTGCTTAAATCGTTAACCAAATGTTGACATAATTGAATTGTTAATTAATACATTGTGATATTCTTCCATTGACTATCCATTCTATTTGCAGGATCACCGCATTAAAAATGTATGCGTTGACAGCATTCTTATCCAGATTTTAAAACGCTATGACAACATTGAAGTTGCCTAAAATGGCAACTAAAACATTTCCAAATATTTTTTGGGCTGCCGGCCAATTTTAAGGGCCACTTAACTATATAGTAAAATTATTCCTGCGGTATACCATAATCGTTCCTTAAACAGGCATAAAAGACGAAATTGTAGACCAATTTGTAATAAAGTTTCCTGCTATTCCAGGAAAAACTGGTTTTTATTACCTAACACATATAAACATAGCTTTAAGAACATTTGTAATGACCAAATACCTACATGCGACATCATCCTCTTGAACTTCAATGGAACCATTTTTCATGGTATAGGACTGTCACATATTTAGGCTGTATCTAACAAAAACAAAAACTTTAAATTAGTTTCAGCTTTAAATAGAGACTTTTTGCTGTTGCAATTAATTCAGAAATTAATGTGATGCGTGTTTTATGTCAACTCCTTAACCGGTCAACAAGTCTAAAAACAAATACAAAACATTCTTATATAAATATATTACATAAGAGTATAAATTTGAAAAAAAAAGGAAATTTTAGACAAATCAGTTATAAAGCTTCAGGCTGTTGTTTCAGGAAAAACTGATTTTTATTACCTAAAAAAACATAAACATAGTTTTAAGAACAAGAGGCTCAGAAGAGCAGGAATAGCTCACCTGAAATTTTTTGCTTGTTTTTTTTTTGTTGGTCAGATTAACTTTTTTGTAGAACTTACTTTGCTGAACATTTATTGCAGTTTACAGTTTATTTCTATCTATAATAAAATGCTCTGCTGGGTCGCAGCTTGATACGACCGCAGAGGTCGAACCCTGAACAGTTGTGGCAAGTATGGACAAAACATTCAAGCTTGATACAGCACTGAATTTGGATTGTAATTAAATATTTGACACAGCATAGGTTTCTGAAACAGAATGAAAGTGGTGCAAGAACTTAAAAAATTTTAATTTACCTATTCAAACCATATCATTATTATTTGCTTTTATATATAAATCAGAAATAACCAATTTAAAATGAAAAAAATTATAAAGAAAAAAAAGGAAAAAAAAATCCCCCCCAAATTTTTTGAACCCCCTTACGATTCATCACCCCCAAACTCAATCCCAGCCTTCCCTTTGTGGTATGGTACTTTGCAGTACAATTTCAGAGAGATCCATACACTTGAACACAAGCTATTGTCTGGAAACTAGTAAAATGCTTGTTTTTTTGGCCCCAAATTCCTAAACGTTTAGGGCAATTACCCCCAAACTCAAACCCAGCTTTCCCTTTGTGATATGGAACCTTGCAGTACAAGTTCATAAAGATCCATACACTTACACACAAGTTATTGTCCTAAAACTAGAAAAATGCTTGTTTTTCTGCCCTTTTATGGCCCCTAATTTCTAAAATTTTGAGGGAATTACCCCCAAAATCAATCCCAGCCTTCCCTTTGTGGTATGGTACCTTGCAGTACAATTTCAAAGAGATCCATACACCTGAACACAAGTAATTGTCTGGAAACTAGAAAAATGCTTATTTTTGGCCCCTTATTCCTAAACTTTTTGGGCAATTACCCCCAAACTCAATTCCAGCTTTCCCTTTGTGATATGGAACCTTGTAGTACAATTTCATAAAGATCCATACACTTACACACAAGTTATTGTCATGAAATTAGAAAAATGCTTGTGTTTTGCCCCTTTTTGGCCCCTAATTCCTAAAATTTGGAGGCAATTACCCCCAAAATCAATCCCAGCATTCCCTTTGTGATATGGAACCTTGTGATACAATGTCAGAGAGATCCATACACTTACACACAAGTTATTGTCATGAAACTAGAAAAATGCTTGTTTTTTGCCCCCTAATTCCTAAACTTTGGAGGCAATTACCCCCAAAATCAATCCCAGCATTTCCTTTGTGATATGGAACCTTGTGGTACAATGTCAGAGAGATCCATACACTTACACAAAAGTTATGTCTGGAAGTTACAAAAATGCTTATTTTTGGCCCCTAATTCCTTAACTGTTGGTACCATAACCCCCAAAATCAATCCCCACCTTCCTTTTGTGGTATTGAACCTTCTGGTAAAATTTCATAGAGATCCATTCACTTAAACTAAAGTTAGAGTGCGAAAACTAATGTGTCTTGACGCCAACGTCATACCAATATACGACCACAAAAATTTTTTTGCAGTCGTATAATAATATTCAAGATAATAACAAACTGGAGGCTCTAAAGAGCCTGTGTCGCTCACCTTGGTCTATGTGCATATTAAATGAAGGACACAGATGGATTCATGACAAAATTGTGTTTTGGTGATGTGTTTGTAGATCTTACTTTACTGAACATTCTTGCTGCTTACAATTATCTCTATCTATAATGAACTTGGCCCAGTAGTTACAGTGGAAAATATTTTGTAAAAATTTACAAAAATTTACAAAATTTATGAAAATTGTAAAAAATTGACTATAAAGGGCAACAACTCCTTAAGGGGTCAATTGACAATTTTGGTCATGTTGACTTATTTGTAGATCCTACTTTGTTGTACATTATTGCTGTTTACAGTTTATCTCTATCTATAATAATAATCAAGATAATAACCAAAAGCTGCAAAATTTTCTTAAAATTACCAATTCAGGGGCAGCAACCCAACAACATGTTGCCTGATTGGTCTGAAAATTTCAGGGCAGATAGATCTTGACCTAATGAACAATTTTATCCTCATCAGATTTGCTCTAAATGCTTTGGTTTCAGAGATATGAGCCAAAAACTGCATTTTACCCTATGTACTTTTTTTTAGCCATGTCGGCCATCTTGGTTCGCGGGCGGGGTCATCGGACACATTTTTTAATCTAGATACCCTAATGATGATTGTGGACAAGTTTGGTTAAATTTGTCTTAGTAGTTTCAGGAGAAGATTTTTGTAAAAGATTACAAAAATTTACGAAAAATGGTTAAAAATTGACTATAAAGGGCAATAACTCCTTAAGGGGTCAACTGACCATTTTGGTCAAGTTGACTTATTTGTAGATCTTACTTTGCTGAACATTATTGCTGTTTACAGTTTATCTCTATCTATAATAATATTCAAGATAACCAAAAACGGCAAAATTTCCTTAAAATTACCAATTCAGGGGGAGCAACCCAACAACGGGTTGTCCGATTCATCTGAAAATTTCAGGGCAGATAGATCTTGACCTGATTAACAATTTTACCCCATGTCAGATTTGCTCTAAATGCTTTGGTTTCAGAGATATAAGCCAAAATTTACATTTTCTATTTTTAGCCATGGTGGCCATCTTGGTTGGTTGGCTGGGTCACAGGACACATTTTTTAAACTAGATACCCCAATGATGATTGTGGCCAAGTTTGGTCAAATTTGGCCCCGTAGTTTCAGAGGAGAAGATTTTTGTAAAAGTTAACGACGACGGACAACGGATGCCAAGTGATGAGAAAAGCTCACTTTTGGCCAGATGAGCTAAAAAAGTTGATCGTCCACCATTATAGACCTTGTCCGAGACATTAGTGATATTAACCTATAATATAAGTTTTATAAAAATCTGGCAAGAATTGTACTTGTGAGAGCGCTATTTTCCATAAATTTAATATTTCCAAGGGGCATAACTCTTTTAAAAAAAGTCGATCGCCACCATTATAAAACTGGTCCGAGATATTGCTGATATTAACCTATAGTATAAGTTTTATAAAAATCTGGCAAGAATTGTACCCATGAGAGCGCAAACAAGACCGGACAGACACACGTTCACCCGGTATTATATATATATAAATATATTTGACCTATTGCTTATAGTATCCATGATACTAAAACTTAACATTGATCACTGATCCATGAAATGAGGTTGAGGTCAGGTGAACCATGTCTGACGGATATATGTAGACCTTGCAAGCATTCAATATGCCAAATATAGGTAGTTTATAACTCAAAATAAGGGAGTATTTCACAGCAACAAAGCAACTTAAATAAGCATTCAGAGGTACTGCATGGCAATACATAGTCCCCAACCAGATAAATTCATTGCAATGGAACAACTAACTTGATCTATAACTAGTCCTGGTGTTAACATGGTTAAACTTTATAATGATTCAATGAATATCAAATCAAAATTTTCAAGCACGACGAAAAAAAAAATGTGGAAACCGATTATTTGTGTGAATATTCTAAGTTCAAGAACCTAACACTGCAAAAAAACAAGAGTGCACACGCTGAAATGTCTCGCCTGCTTTTCTGACCATTGATTTATGTTGATAGTCCTAAATATAAAGCTTTACTACAAGTATCCCATAAACTTAACATGATCCAAGAAAATGAGGCCAAGGTCAGATAAACCAAACAGGAAATACATGTACGCCTTACAATCATTCCATACACCAAATATAGTAGACCTATTACTTATAGTTCAAGAAAAATAGACCAACACAAAAACTTTACACGGAGCTATGAACCGTGAAAATGAGGTCAAGGTCAAATAAAATCTGCCAGACTGACATGTACATCGTAAAATATTTCCTTACACTAAATATAGTTGACCTATTGTATATAGTATTAGAAAAAAAGACCAAAACACAAAAACTTAACTTTATCCACTGAATCATGAAAATGGGGTCAAGGTCAGATGACACCTGCCAGTTGGAAATGTACTCCTTACAACCATTCCAAACACTATATATAGTAGACTTATTGCTTATAATTAAAGAAAAATACATCAAAACACAAAAACTTTACACTAAACATGAACCTTGAAAATGAGGTCAAGGTCAAACAAAACCTGCCAGACTGACAACTACATCGTACAATATTTCCATACACTAAATATAGTTGACCTATTGCATATAGTATTAGAATAAAAGACCAAAACACAAAAACTTAACTTTAACCACTGAACCATGAAAATGAGGTCAAGGTCATATGACACCTGCCAGTTGGACATGTACTCCTTACAATCATTCCATACACCAAATATAGTAGACCTTTTGCTTATAGTATCTGATATATGGACTTGACCATGAAAACTGAACCTTATAGTGAACCACTGATCCATGGAATGAGGTCGAGGTCAGATGAAAACTGTCTGACAGGCATGAGGACCTTGCAAGGTACGCACATACTAAATATGGTTATCCTATTACTCATAACAAGATAGAAATTAACATTACAAAAAAATCATCATTTTTTTTCAAGAAGTCACTGAACCATGAAAATGAGGTCACGGACAATGGACATATGACAGACGAAAACTTCATAACATAAAGCATCTATATACTAAGTATGAAACATCCAGATCTTCACCTTCTAAAATATAAAGCTTTAAAGTAGATAGTTAATAACGCTGCCGCCACCGGATCACTATCCCTATGTCAAGTTTTCTAGACTCGACAAAAAATCATCCAATCCGAACAAAATTCAAACTTGGTCTGTAACTTGTCATTGTAAAACTATATACCAAATACCAAATCAATATCTTCAAACATTCAGGTATATGACAGTTGTTTTCCATTTGTTTGATGTGTTTAAGCTTTTGATTTTGCCATTTGATATTAGGGACTTTCCGATTTGAATTTTCCTGGGAGTTCAATATTTTTGTTATTTTACTTTTTTCAAGTATAATGGAAACAAATGCAGAAAAAAGATGACTTGCCTGAATTTTCATAATCCAAGGAACATAACTCTGCACAAAATCATCAGATCAGAACAAATCTGGAGCTTGATCTGTAACTTGTTATGGTCAACTATATACCAAATATCAAGCATGACGAAAAAAAGGTGCCAAAAACTGATTACTTGGGTGAATTTGCAGTCCAAGGACCATAACTCTGCACAAAATAATCTGACCTGAACAAAAAATTAAATTGATCTGTAACTGCTCAAAATATAGCTTTACACCAAATATCAAATCAATATCTTCAAGCACAAAGGAAAAAAGTGTGGAAAACTGATTTCCAGGACTGAAGAATGGGCAGACAGACAGTGGGACTGAGTTCAAACCTGAACTTTGTTGATAGGGGACTTAAAATATTCAAGCAGTTGCTTGACCATGAAAATGGCAATAGACATATGACAGTAATAAAAGAATATTAGGCATTTGCATACAAGGTATAAAGCATCCAGGTCTTCTACCTTCTGAAATATAAAGCTTTATATGCAAATAGTTTATGCAGTTGCTGCTGTTGGATTGAATCCCTGTCTTGCATTCGGCGACTTTTGACACATGTGAAACAAAAAGAATGAATATTGATTAGTATACTTATGAGCTAAGAGACTGCATGATCATTTTATTCCATTGGAGGGACCTGGAAGAAAAAATTTGAATTTTTCGTAATTTTTTCAAGTCCCATCCTTGAAGGAAAATAAATTCAAGACCCCCTTACAAATGCCATGGATATTTCAACACCCCTCCGGACTCCCAATACATAGGATCATGAATCTACATGTATAAAAGGGCCAATACAGAAACAGCCAGTTCAAAAGACTTTTATTATATGATACACATTCTTTGATTAAACTAGAGGCTCTCCATAGCCTGTGTCTCTCACCTGTATCTACTGTGGTTATGGAAATCATGTAAAATAAAGGTTAAAATAAGATTTTTGTAAAGGATCACAAAAATTTACGAAAAATTGTTAAAATTGACTATAAAGGGCAATAACTCCTTAACCCTTTCACCAATAGCCGCCCTGACAGAAGCTACTCTGAGACGATGGCTTCCCTGGCCATTGTGACACAAGTGGGAGATCTTCATATTAAATATCAATAAAAAATTGTCTGTAGTTATTTATGTCTTTATTTTATTCACTTACACTATGGACACACAGTTGATGTATTGATAAATTTTTTGTCAGAAAAAATCAAAATTTCCAAATTTTCGGCATTAAAAGAGATAAAATACAGGATATTAAACTTTTTGACCCAAAATCGTAATTTTGTAACCCAAAACCACAAAAGTTTGAAAATTTCAACGAGGTTACAAGTGTTTTTGTACATAAAATGGCATTTTATGTCAAAAAAGTACACTAGTCTGGCTTCAAATCTTCCAAATTCTTTCCAAAAAATGTTCCCTTACTTCAAACTCCAGTAAAACGGTAAATTTCATCTGATTTTGACACGGTTTTCAACAAACGGAAGTGCCATGTTTACACTTTCATCTGGGTATTAAACAAAGAAAGATAACTTGTGTTTGCAATGATTTTCAGCGGGAAATATAAAAGACGTATTCCGATCCCAGTAATCTGGGACTTGTTGTCAGCTGTCTGAAGCGTGAATCCCAGTAAACCGGGATTCGTCGGCGAAAGGGTTAAGGGGTCAATTGACAATTTTGGTCATGACTTATTTGTAGATCTTACTTTGCTGAACATTATTGCTGTTTACAACAATATGTTGTCCTATTGGTCTGAAGATAACTTGACAGGTAGATCTAAACCTGCTTAACACTTTCACCTATGTCAGTTTTGCTCTTACTGCTTTATTTTTAGAAACTGCCGCCATGTTTTTGAATGGATCAAATTCCCAAATACAATCTAAAAACTAGATACACTAAGGAACATTCAATTTAAGTTTTTAAGTATTTGGCCAAGTAGTTTCAGAGAAGAAGATTTTTTAAAAAGTAATTAGACTTTCACAAAAAATGCAAAAAAAACGTTTTAAGGGCAATAACTCCTTAAAGGGTCAATTGACTATTTTGATCATGTTGACAAATTTGTAGATCTTACTTAGCTGAACATTTATTGCCATTTATACTTTCTATCTATTATAATATTAAAGAAAATAACCAAAAACAGTAAAATTTAATAAAAATAAACTATTTCCAACAGAAACCCAACAATGGGTTGTCCAACTTGTCTGAAAATTTCATAACAGATAGATCATGACCCATTTATCACTTCAATTCCCTTTCACTTTTGCTCTAACTGCTGTAGTTTTTGAGAAATATTAGCCAAAAACTGCTTTTGTCCCCTATGTTCTAATTTTAGCCATGGTGGCCATGTTTGTTGATGGATCAAAACTTCGGATAAAATTTACAAACTAGATACCCTAAGGAACATTCAGTTAAATTTTATTAGTATTTGGCCCAGTAGTTTCAGAGAAGATGATTTTTGAAAAAGTAATAGACTTGCATGAAAAAACGTAAAAAATAAACATTTCAAGGGCAACATCTCCTTAAGGAGTCAATTGACTATTTTGACTTATTTTTAGATCCTACTTAGCGGAACATTTTTGCCATTTACACTTTCTATCTATTATATTAAAGATAATAACCAAAAACAGTAAAATTTCATAAAAATAAACTATTTTGGACAGTAACCCTAAAATGGGTGGTCCAATTGGTCTGAAAATTTCATAGCAGATATATAGATTTTGACTTATTCATCACTTAAACTCAATGTCACTTTTGCTCTAACTGCTATAGTTTTTGAGATAAAAGCCAAAAACTGCATTTGACCCCTATGTTCTATTTTTAGCCATGGCGGCCATGTTTGTAAATATATCAGAACTTCGGATACAATTCATAAACCAGTTACCCTAAGGAACATTCAGTTAAAGTTTAGAAGTATTAGGCCCAGTAGTTTCAGGGGAGAAGATTTTTAAATTTTAGCAAACTTGATAAACAAATTGTGTAAAATTGTCTTTAAAGAGCAATATTAAACTCCTTAAGGGGTCAATTGACAATTTTGGTAATGTAACTTTTTTGTAGATCTTACTTTGCTGAACATTTTTGCTGTTTACAGTTTATCTTTATCTTCAATAATATTCAAGATAATAACCAAAAACTGCACAATTTCCTTAAAATTACCAATTTAGTGGCGGCAACCCAACAATGTTCCATTCGTCTGAAAATTTCAGGGCTGATAGATCTTGACCTATTGTACATTTTTACCCATGTCAGATTTGCTCTAAATGCTTTAGTTTTTGAGATATAAGCCAAAAACTGCATTTGACTCCTATGTTCTATTTTTAGCCATGGCAGCCATGTTTGTTGATGGATCAAAACTTTGGATACAATTTATAAACAAGATACCCTAAGGAACATTCTGTTAAAGTTTTACTTTAATAAATTGTGACTTGGATGGAGAGTTGTCTCATTGGCACTCATACCACATCTTCTTATATCTATGTACACCTTGCAATCATTCCATACACCAAATATACATTTTAGTAGTTGACGATATGACCTATTGCTTATATATATAAGTGCTTAATATCATTCAGCGGGGAAACTTTGTCCTTACATAATATGCAAGATAAATGTTGGATTTAAACATTATCTATCTCTTGCGATTAATTTGAGAATAGGAAGAATCTGACAAAACATAAAGAATTTCAGCAGACGGAAGTAGAAGATACAAGGGTACCCCCTTATGCCTTAAACTTAGTGGGCAGTGTGGTTAAGGTGTAGTAGAGGATGATATCAAACACTTTCTCCTTTATTGCACAAAATTTAACAACAATTTAATTAAAATTAGTTCTCCACACTTGCTTCTGGGCATTTTCATTCCGTTGTTCACATGTCACTTGTCGCCTTAGGAGACTTTTATCTTTTATACAGTCTACACTGTAAGCCACTAGTCTGATGCCCCAGCAACTCATATTGCAAAAAATCTTACCAGTAAAAATTCATGAAATTAACATTACAGTATAATATAACTCACAATCAATTTTAGCCAAAAGATTCAGACTGCTCATGTTGTCATGTAACAACTTTGCTAACATGAGTCCTCCTGAAAATTTCTTATGGCTAATAACCAGTCAGGGGTTTGGAAATGCCATGCCCGACTCGCCCGACTCATAGATTTGACCGACCGGACAAGCAATTTTTTGTGTCTTTCTTGTACGTGGACAAGTAAGAAAAATGTTGCTTGACAAAGTCACATTGTTAATTTATATTATCATATAAAAAAAGTCCTCAAAATTCATCCATAAAAGTAGAAAAAATATAAAATAACAAGACGAAAGCAACATGTTTTAATAAAACAACATCAATGATCAAGATTACACGAAATAGATCGATTACCAAACAACAAAAAATAAGTATGCGGACCCGGGTTTCATTAACATTCTGTGATATTTTCCCATTGACCCGGGATCATTGATCAGGTTATAGCAACGGTAAACTGGAAATGATCATTATTATTTCGAGCACAGATTTCTCAGTCAAGTTGGATAAGCATTGGATAGGTCATCGCTCGGAAGTTGACCAACCGAAGAGGAGGCGCCTCATAAAATTTTGAGCTAAGAACTTGGTTTTGAAATCAGAGGCGGCAGAGCACAAATATTAAAAAAATAAACGGAATAGAGGATTTTAAAGTTCTATAATATTTTGATTTCGCTTATAATTAGTTATCTAAAAAAATCTCAAATTTACAATTGGTCCACCAAAAGTTTATTGGGAGGATAAGGAGGGGGTGCAAACAACAATTCAATAATTCATCATTTATTTGGTTTCATCTCTTCATTAACTAGAAAACTTCGCACTAGCTCACTGTGAATAAACTATAAGTCATGATATAATCTCCTAAATCCAGGCCTCTATAGATTCTTTAATTTAGTGTTGTCTTGGGGATGGTTTCTACAATGTAGCTCATTGGTGTATACATGATCTACTAATCTTTGTATGTTTCTTATATACAAACAAAGACCATGCATTCCTTTTTTGTTGTGTTTCAGAACTGTTTTAGAAACATACACGTTAACAGAAAAATACGTCTTCTTCATTCCAAAATTCATTAAGAAATCAGGGCAAGTAACTTTAATTTCGGACAAGTAAAATTGTGTAAATTTTACTTGCCTGGGAACACGTGGTCACAACAAATATTTCCACACCCCTGCCAGTGTGAGAATAATATCAGTAATTTGCTAATATTTTAGATTAAACTTCACATTTTCATAGCTACAGCTTGCTTGGCTGGTTACTTAGACAGAAAATTACAATCTATATTTTTGCCTGTCAGAAATAATATGTTATTTCATTAAAATCACATTTCTTATTTGCCAATTTGCACAATTTTGTTGTTATGAAATGCTGTTTTGGTAATAAAATTGCCCAGACTTTAGCAAAGTTTGATAGTCCTGTCTCAGGACCCTCCCAATAATCATATCAATGCCTCTGGGAGATATTGACTAAATCAATTTTTACCCATGTTCTTCTTGGAGTGGTCAAGCTCAGAACTAATCTAAATAGTGCTAATATTGTTATGGCAAATTATCATCTCTTCATTATTTTAGGACTTTTCAAAAAATATTATCGCCAATTCCGATTTATTGCAAACCAAATGAAACTTTTCCACAGTGTCCAACTCTTAAAACTTTTGTCAGTTCTATTGTCCCATTCATTAAATACAATAGCTATTGTTCTCTGTGTAGTTTTTCTTCATAGAGAAATCCATCTCTCATTAATTAATTTACCTGAATAAAAAAATCATCTTCTAAATAGATGAAAATACATGTTTTAACTTATACTAAAAATAGATTGAACAATAGGAAATGAATCTATGTAAATTAAAGTTTCATTTGGTTCACAATCATGGGTTCAAATTAGCGGTGGTCCGAGGTCCATGACCTTCTATTTACGGGTTCGGACCTTCCCATCGGTAGTTAGTTATAAACACGACAGACTTTCGTATTTATGCGGGTTAAAAAAGTTACAAAAGCATTTTGAACAAAAAATATAAAAATCTAGTATAAAAATAATCTGAAAATATGCATATTTACTAAAAGGAAAATTATGTGTTTGCTTAAATTCTTCACAATTGATTTGGTGTGGTCGTGTGACAGGTCGTCGTACAAGATAATATACCAGGAAACTCAAGAATATAATATTAAGATATAATAACTAGTAAATGGTATTCTGAGTCTGTATGGTTTTGGGGTGACCTCTTCCAAAAGAAAACCTGATGAAACTGGGGATACAGCGGGGGTGATTGATGAAACGGCTTAATGCAGCCAGAAAGACAGGATCTGACTAAAGACCAAACATTTACAGGGGAAAAAAAGAATGTGTTTTTTCCCCAACGTGACACAGTGAAAGGGAAAGTGCCCTGGTTCGTTGGACAAAAAACTTAAAACTTGATCCCATAAAAAATCATGATGAAAAATTACCACCAATCATCTATTTATCTTGCCAAAAAAGGGGTAAAAAGAAACTGAC